ACACTCTCAAATCAGTGCTATTAGCTGAGAATACTAAATCATAAAAAAGCAGATATGCAGGAAATTAATTGAATGGTGTAAAATAAGCCTCCATAGGGCAGCTGCATTTCAGTTAATTGGGCAGTTGTGAAAAATTATTTGTCCTCTGTATCACTGTTCAGTGTCTGCAGTGTGTTGCAAATTTCAGGGTGAAAACAAACAACAGTGTAATACATGAGGCGTTGAATGCTAATAGGAAATATTGTTTTCTCATAGTCCGAAGTGAAGATGTCACTGCACTGTTCATGGCTTTTGAGACAGAGCTGTTGGAAGCCTTATTTGTCGGCAGTAACTTTCAACAGTGTGAGACATTTTGTAGCCAGATCTCAAAGGGAATTTTCTTCAAATGGGAAATTGGTTGATGTGGCAGTGAATGAAAATACAGGTAATAAATTGTTTCAATTGGAATACGTTTACTTGGAGATGTTAATAAGCCAATATGAATAAAGAATGTAATTTATAATGAAATTACATGTATGGTTGTGTAATAATTTTTACTCTTTCATTTTATCAAACCTGAATTGTAACATGTGTAATATGTATAATTTGGTCTGATTGTGGTAGTCTCATTTAAAGTTACAGGACGTAATGTTTCCGTCTGTAGGTATATCAACAGTCACAATGCAACGATTACCAGTGAATAGCCTTAACTTGGAGTTGCTGCAGGAACTCTATTCGGTGCTTGATACCTTGGAGAAGGACAGGAGTCGGGGAATGATTCTTACATCCGTAAGTGGATAACCACGTTAAATATATATGGAAAAAGTAACTATCAAAATACAACTTTTTCATATATTGTTTAATCAGCTGGATGTGTTTGGAACACTTGTTATCTTCATTGATTTGTATTAAATGTAAATGCTCTTAAATTGTTATTAAAAGTGTCATCTATATTTTAGTTCAAATTTTTAAGTAATGAAATTACAAGATTTCTCAAACTGGGACCTGTATAGTCTAATAAAATATCGACATACTGTGACCCACAACTTTCTTTTTCTTCACTCTCATCCTCCCCACCCTCTTCTTCTCCCTTTTTCTTTGTGGCAGCTTTGATATGCGTCTCTGTCGTGTTGGAAGCTCAGTTCACACATGTGGATCCTAGGTAAATTGTAAGAAAATTGTTCAGACAATGAAACAAAAGCTCAGGTTATCAGAAATATTTGAGACTGGGGAAGTAAAAAATTCTTGACGAGTTTTAAGAAAGTTTACAGAGACGATGAAAAGTGAATTCAAAGCAATGTTAACTATCACTTCAACCTAACTGGTGCACAGTACAACATAATGGAATTGATTCTAAGACACTTATATTGAATAAGACTTGTAGCATCAGTAAAATTAGTGCACAAGGATTTCATAACTAAGAATAACAGCAGATGGGTTATTCCAGTTTGCAGTTTCTTGGTTTTTTATTTCTGTGATTCTTTTCCATGTCATAGTACAACATAAATTAATTCTACCTTAGATTCCTTCTGAGTCAGAGATTACTGAACCCACCAAAATGGTTTCTGTTAATTAACCCTTTAAAGCCAAGTGGGAACTATGTCTACCACCTGCTTTATTATTCAGTAACTCTTCATTTTGTATTATGGGCTTTATATGACTCAGAATAAACACAGATTATTTCCTGAAACAGCATTAACCAACTGATCTTTGGAATCACAAAGAGTTAGATTTTCTTCATGATAGGGACTGAATTCTTAAATATTATATGAGCTTTAACTTCAGAGGGTTAACAACTTTAGTTCTTTAATTGCTACTGACATTAAACAAGTAACTAAGAAGCACTAAAAACCTAATCCTGTCATACCAGGTAAGCTTCAGCTGTTTAACGTAAAAACTTGACGGAGATTGTGCGGTTAAAGTTCGAGGTCTTGTATTTGTACATGTACATATATATATATATATATATATATAGTAAGCGTCTGTATATTATTAATTTAATACAACATAATAAACTTAAATAATGTTTTGTACTTAATTTATTATTTTAAAATTAACTTGTCTGCATTAATTAACATAGCCGTGCTATTCTAATTTATTTTTGTTGTGTGCTTTGCGCACCAGGCTTCTCCTACGGTATTCAGTGCAGGTTTGGATATTTTGGAAATGTACAAACCAAAACAAGACCGTGCAGTCGCCTTCTGGACAACCCTGCAAGATGTTTGGCTTAAGTTATTTGGATCTTCATATCCGACTGTGGCTGCCATCAATGTGAGTTATATTGAGTTGCAGGGTCTATTCAATGTCGTGTTTGTTATTTTGACAGCCCAGAATGAGATAACTCATAATTCACTGGCTGTTTTAAGTTGTCAGTGAATTAATGTGCAAAGATTACAGTTTTATTCTGGAAATATGTGTTTCTCAGTTACAGCTGGTACTATTTGTGCACCACGGCACAGGTCCCCTGCTCTTTCTCAGTTACTCTTGCACAGGTGCAAAGAGTAATACATTAGAGCCTGAATCTTCCTGCTTGTCTTAGTAGCTAAATAGATGTCATGTGTTCATCAGTTGCACTTTTTGTTGTTTTAGAACTAATTGTTGCTCTTTTTGATCACCAAGACAATTTATGACCAGGAACGCCAACATCCTGATAAACACCAACACTGGCATTTTCATGTTTATAAATGCATTATACATATTAAGTATCATGTTTCACATCTTTGGTTCCCCTAAATCAATTTTCCCAAAGATTTTAACTTTGCACATCATGGTTTTACCATTCACAAGGGTTTTCAAGAATGTGACATCCATGAATGGCGAGGGTCTGGTGTAGAACATGGACCAGTGAGTGGAGATTTTACCTCATTGCTATATTATTATTTTATATTGTATACAAAAATTGTGTTTAGAAAAACCCTTATAGTTGCCATGCAGATGGTACTGAATTAAAAAGTAATAAACTTGATGTTACCTTCTGTATTACATTTTGTTTATATTAACTGTAATGGGTACCGGGGTCCTTTCCTGGGGGTAAAGTTGGCCGGGGCGTGGTGCCGACCACTCACCCCCATCTAGTGCCGAGGTTAAGAGAGGAGCTATATCTCCGCTCACCCCAAGCGCCTTTACGGCACATAGCGGGACAAACTTCACTTTTTATATTAACTGTGGAAATTTGTCATTTTGTTCAAAACTTATTAAGAAGACACGTATGTACACCGAGTTGATATTAACCCATTATTCTACCTGAATAAGGAAATTGGTTATAATAGAGGCTTAATGGAGTATTTGTGTTATAAGTTATTTTATTTCTTGCTTTTGTAGTAGATTATGACATTAAATTCTGTTTGCGTTTTGAAAATTTTAGGTTTGAAACCAACCTTGGTTATTTTGTTCTCAAATGCGCGTGTTTTCCCAGGGCCATAGTCCTGCAGGCGGCTGCTTGGTGGCACTCAGCTGTGAATACCGAGTAATGGTAGGACCGAAGTATACAATTGGTCTCAATGAAACCCAATTAGGAATTGTAGCACCTAAATGGTAAGAAACTCTCCTTCATCGTCCATTGATGTTTCAGGGTGGGTCTAATTTATTTTCTGTCAACCTTAAGTACTTTGATATCTATGCTTATTTTTTCATGTTTTTTTCTGTTTTTGTTTCTTCCGTCATTTGGTCTCAATTCTTAGTCTTCTCTCTCCTCAGTGGTTATTAGACGTCTTCAGTTTTGAAGCTTTTAGAAGTATCTTGTATATGGCTCATGTCCATACCATTGTACAGTGTATGCAGAATAACTCGGAGCTTGAGTTTCATCATAGTAAAAGAGGAGGGAATATGGTAAAGGCAAGGGGGAGAAGGACAGCAAAGAGTTTGTTTGTGCATTTACAATACAACTGAAAACTTTTTTTTCCTTTTTAATTTTTACGTAATCAGTATTTAGATACACGGACTCCATATGTTGTTTTTTGTTCCCTCCCGCACGTGTATTTGTAATGGTCAATGATACTCGGAGTTATTTTATGTCCACTGCATCGTCAATATGATCAAATTCTCTTACGTCTTTTTAGCTGTCATGTGTCACCGAATGGCCTAGTTTCAGATTGTAAGTGGGTTCATGAAAAAGGATCAGTGCTGTGTTATGTTAATATTCTCAGACTCTTTTGACCACACAAATCTCTCATTTAAAAAGTATATTGCTGGAGTCCCATATCCTCTCTGCCTAACATAGGAAGTATTCAGACTTTCAGACAACATGGTTTTTGTGATGCTAATTGGCTGGTAATGAACATGTCAAAATATGCAATTTATTTGCATTGATATAGAAAGGAAAGTTGAAGAGGCACTAAATGAGGATCAGTTTGGTTTTACAAAAAAGTATGGGTACTTGAGAGGCAATTCTGAACTTGCGTTTAGTAATAGAAGGACGGATTAAGAAAAATAAAGATACAATTATGGCATTTGTAGACTTGGAGAAGGCTTTTGACAAAGTAAAGTGGAATAAGATGTTTGAAATCTTGAGGAAGGTAGGACTGAAGTATCAAGATAGACGAGTTATTTACAGTATTTATAAGCATCAGGTGGCCATAATAAAAGTGGAGAATCAAGAAAGACAGGAATTTATTAAAAAGGGAGTAAGACAAGGTTGCAGCCTATCGCCCCTGCTGTTTAATTTGTATGCTGAGGAAGGAACGAAGGAACCATTAAGTATCAAAATTGGGAAAGACACAGTAGAAGAAGTAAAGGAATTCTGTTATTTAAGAAGCAAAATCACAAAAGATGGACGAAGCAAGGAAGACATTAAAAGCAGATTAGCACAAGCAAAAGGAGCCTTCTTAAAAAGAGAAGTCTACTAGTGTCAAACACTGACCTGGAATTAAGAAAGATTTTTGGAGCACAGCGCTATACGGAAGCGAAACATGGTCAGTGGGAAAGCTAGAAAGAAGAAGGATAGAAGCATTTGAAATGTTGAAAATTAAGTGGACTGATAAAGTGCGAAATGAGCTGGTCTTGCACAGGATAGGCGAAGGAAGAAGTCTATGGAAAAATCTTACGAGAAGAGGAGATAGGATGGTGGGACACATTCTGAGGCACCCAGGATTGGTTAATTTGGTAATGGAAGGAACAGTTAAAGGGAAGAATTGTAAGGGGAGACAAAGATTGGAATATGTGACACAGATTTTTGGGGATGTGGGCTGCAAAAAATATGTGGAAATGAAGAGATTGGCGCAAGATAGGCGAAAATGGAGGACCACATCAAACCAGTCGGAAGACTGATGACAAACAAACAACGATGCCTGTGATGAGGCATCAGAATGAAGATAGCCATCTTCATACTTACCACCATGAGATCCTAGTACTTGATCGAAGCCCAAGCTGTTGATCTCTTGTAAACATTTTATTTATGTGAATAACATCATACTCTTGTATGTTGGTATAATCTGTGCCCAGTATTTTTCAGCATACAAGAAAAATCACTTCTTGGTAATAGATGCATGTAGACAGTATGTCTGAAGTACTTCTTTCCCTCATTTGTACTGGTGATAAGTGATTTCCTCGGAAAGAAACGGCTCCTTGATTTATTATTTTAGAATAAATTAGCTCTGCTGAATCTCTTGGTTCTGCAGAACACTGTTCGGGAATTGCTGATTTGTATGGTTGCACTTTGTAGGTTTCAGTTCTCTATGAAAAATGTGATCTCCAGTCGGCAAGCTGAACTAGCACTTACAACAGGCCGCCTGTTTACTACTGATGAAGCCTTAAAAATTGGCTTAATAGATGAAGTGGCAACAGATAAAGCTGATGCCATAGCAAAAGCTGAGAAGTTTTTGGTTGGCATGTCAAAAATATCAGGTACATAGAATTTTGCCAGTGTTATTCTAAAAATAGGCAAGCTGTGTTGCTATTGTAGTTTCAAAATTTTGAATGTTTATTCAAATTAAGGTTTGTTGTGACACTAGAGATATTATACTTGTAAATCTATAGCTTTAAAAAGCAATAAGGTTTAGGAGATGGTATTATTGATGATTGGAAATTATAAAAAAAGCTTCTAATGGCTTTATGTTTATACTATATACAATGAAAGTCTGTTGGTAGCTTCAAACGTTATTAGGGGGCACAGACTAATTATCATAAAAACATACTTGCATGATGATACTATAATCATATCAATTGAGGAAAATAGTTTGGAAAAGAGGGAAGCTTATTAATTACGGATTTGAATTTACTGGCGGACCTTGTGAACGTGGTAATGAAACTTTGGATTGAAGATGGCTGTCTTCTGGGGTGCTGTGCCATGTAATCTGGTAGAAGTTTACAAATGCTTTAGAGGTCCTTGCTGCCTCCATCATTGCCCTGATGATGGAGGCAGCAACGACATCTGAAATGTTGGTAAACTTCTACCAGACTACATGGCACAGCACCCCAGAAGACAGCCATCTTTGGACACACCAATGTGAAAACCTCAAATCCTACTAACTTTTGGATTCTGTAACAGGCAAGGAATATCTTGACTGTCTTTGTGATTATTAGCTGCTCAAGAAGGTCCCTGATCCATGATGTTATTTAGTTAGTTAGTTCCAAACTTATTAACCACCTTAATGATATTGCTTGGAATGTTGCAGCAACAGCGCGCAAGTTGGCAAAATTGAGCTGTAGACAGGAGCCTCTGGAATGGCTTGTTGCCAACAAAAAGAAAGACTTGCAAGAATTCATAGGATTTATTAACCAGCCTGCAGTGCAGATGGGACTTGATCATTATCTTGAATCACTCAAGAAGAAATAACATCCATCAAACCGGCATCCATGAAAAATGCATGGCTCATATGATTGTATACTGCCTTACAATGACATTTTTATGAATATAATTCAAAAAGACGTGGCTGTGAGGAGAACTCAAGGTTATATGCAGTACTGGACCCCCTATCCAGAAAGCATGGGAACTAAGGCTTTTCATATTTTATAAGTTTTGGGATTTGGGATATTTTTGTAGACAAATTTTAATACAAAGTAAATAATAAAAATGGTGATGAGGAATGCTGTATCCATGAAATATACAAAATAAATTTCTGGTTTCCAGATTCTTACCATTTTAATATAATTTTAATCCCCAAAGTACCTTGAAACTTATATCTTCTGATTTTAAGTGATTATATCTTGCTTGAAGACGAGAAAAAATATGGGATTTTAGGTGTTGGATTTTTGGATGCCAGATATTGGGTCTGACACTGTGTGTGTTGTTTTTATATATGTGTGTATATATTATATATGGGGCATCATGCCAGAAAGGTGTATCAGCATAATTACATGATTAGACATATTTAGTCTAACAACATAAAATAGTTGGATGTCTGTCATTACAGAAGGGTATAATGCTGATGTTGCTGTACACAGAGATAGTTTCATTTGGGCATATGAATATCAGTATGCCTGTATAAACCTGAACTATTCACTGCATTTAAATTTTTAGTTAAAAATAATGCAAGGAAAAGTATATTTAGATCATTAATTGTTCTTTGATAAGTAACATTCTAAATCAACCAATCAACTGCTGTCATAAAATGTAATGTTTTTACTTAGTGATGTATAGAATGCTGAATTACATTTATAATTATTTAGAGAAAACCAAAGTTGTAAAGTGCCTGGATATTATTTTAGAACTGTGAAAATATGAAATATTTCATATTTGCATTTTAATTTTTCTGGATATATGAAACCCTGTTTACGGTTGAGGTGTTCAGTGAGGTGGCTTTTCACTTTCTCTGTCACTTTCATCTTTAGTTTAGGATGCTGCAGTAGATTCAGTTGAGGATTCACATGGTACAGTATCAGCAGTATCTTCACCCTCTTCTTCAGTGGCTGAGGACTCTGGTGGTTCAGTATCAGTAGTTGTAGCATCTTCACCTTCTTCTTTTGTGTCTTGAGGAACTGCAGTCTGAGGTCCTGAGCTTTCTACTGTTTCAGCAGGCAGCAGGGATGTCATAGCAATCAAGGATGAAGCCTGAAGATCTTCAGACTCTTCTCTCTGGATGTCTAGGAAGTGATTTATCTCTATCACTTTCTTACGAGAGTTTCGAGTTTCTCCTCTGGAATAAAGATCGCATCATGTAATGTCCTTAAATGATAACTTATTTCTTCTTCTCCATATGCATTTAAATGAATAAGAAACCTGGTGAGATAACAGTTCAGGTATTTATTTTCTAGATAGATTGGTAGTTGAGTCGGTAAGTGTTTAGTTATGCGTCAAATTGACGAGTCTCACAGTCCTGGTGGTGGTTCTTCATCACCCTATCTGGGGCCACTCAGAATCCTATATGATGGGTACTGGTGAATCTTTTCCTGGAGATAATATCTGGTCCATCTAGTTCTGAGGTTTAGAATCGATGGGATTTCATCTGCATGCCCTCTATACTTCCATTGTGTGGTGTTCAGGTACAGGGGGAGATGATGGTGGGATCTTGTGCTGTTTAGTCTTATGGAAACTGATCGATGTTTCAGAGAGGCTTATTGTCTCCATCATCAAGAGTGATGAGTCATCACCCTATTAATGGTGGCAGTAAGCTCCTCTGAAATGCGGAAAAATTCCAGAAGACAGTCATCTTCATATGTGCTGCCATAAGAACCTCAAATCTCACAGGTACAGGATAAATGTAATCATCCACATCCTAACTTAAGTAATGGGCATGAGATAATGCTGATAATGAGTATTTATGTGTATGTACGAGTAGAATTTGGCTGCAAGTTGATTCCTGTCAGGGGGTGTTGTAATTTTTCTCTTTGTGACTACATTTGTAATGACTCAGGAGTTGCTGTACTTGGGTAAAGTGGCTGGAGCAGAGGTTTCTATTTTTGGAAGGATAATCCATATGAGTCTGTATTTTAAAAAATAAAATACTAGAGTTTCCTAAATATTTGTAGCTTTATGCACAAAGTTCTCATTGTTTGAAATTAAATTACTAAGGTAAAAAATATGTAGGCATGATTACAGTTTGGTCTTTATTTACCCTTTCAGAAAAAAGGCAAAATGGTACATCAGAATGAGGGTTTCAGTGAAGCTTGCCACTTGCAGAGGCCAAAAGCTGTTAATAGCCATATTAATTTAGATCTCAGTGCAAGAAAACAATACAAACTTGAAGTTTTGAATATGTAATTTATAGATTATACAAACATTTCGTGAATTGTGATATTGTAAAGCTTTTTTCATAACTGTACTTACATAGTGATTTCATCACAGTACTCTTTGACCCACTCGTGAATTCTTGTCAGCAGTTGAGTCTCCCGGTTATCAATGGTATGAAGACGGAAATCATGTGATTGTGTTGTAGCACCATTCAGTGATTCTTTGTTGACCATTATCTGACAGTAATATTCAATTCAGTGTTATTTTAAACTTTGTACTCTTCACCAAATTTTATTACAGAGATAAAAGAAGAGGGATCCAAAAGGATGAGCATGTAGTACATATGGCAGGGAGGATAAATGCATATTCAGTGAACCTAAAGAGAAGAATCGCTTACGAGATCTAGACATAGATGAAGGATATCAAAATTGATCTTAGACAAATGAAGGAGTCTGGTCTGCATTTAGTTGGCTCAGGAGTTGTTAACACTAATGGACCTACAGGTTTCACAAAATGTAGGGACTTTCTTGACCAGCTGAGTGACAGTTAGCTTCTCAAGAATGATTGCTCTATAGAATTAGTTTTAAATAGTAATTTTCAATTACATTATATTATTTTATCTTCACAATAATTTAGAGATAATGGCATATCACCACCACCATCAACTACCTCGGTCATTGTACGTTGCTGACATTTGGTATGGAATGTACATATACAAATTTATAAACATAAGATGAACAGCAATGAATCAATTGTCATAACTGTACCTGCTTCAGCTCTGGAGATACTGGAACTGTTGTAATGTTTAAATTAGTAAGGTATGCATTGGCAACCTCTGACATTTCTTCATTGTAGCTAGCTTCCAGATTTCGAATCTGGGCAAAAAAAGATTGTGCTTCCTCGGTGAAGGTAGATACCAAGTCATTTATATTCTGTCCAAAGTTTCCATTTGTCTCCTGTTATTAAAACAATTATGAAGATCATCAATAAGCTAATAAATTAACCTGTGCCTAGAAATCATAAAGACCAGAAAAGTACCTCTAATTGCTCATATAGTGTGAGTTCCTTAGCCATAAGTTTATACCAAGCTGCTTGGCGTTCATCATTAAATTGGTCAAACAAGATCTGCAGTCTGGAAATGTATTCTCCCTTATCAGAAGTTTCTTCTGTGTCTGCTAGTTTATCTACAGCTTGCAAGATGTTGTGAATATCCAGAAAAACTTCATCTTTTCTCTTAAGAAAGCTTTCTATATACCTGTTCATTCAAAAGAAGAATATTAATGATACCATATTAAAATCTTCATGAAATAGTCAATATTATTTTAATGTTAAAATATGAAAAACCATTCTCAAAATTTAAATTTAACACAAATTCTTTTCACCCACCATTCTCTGATTCCACATAACTGAATTTATATGTAAAATATATTTATTGTTTTTGTCCTTCACTTACTGCTGACTTGAAATTTTATTTTCCTCTTTAGCAGCATCCACACACTTAAAATATTGTCTTATTTCTTCCTGTCGAATTTCATGTTGCTCCAGTCCTAATTTGAAAAGCTGATGGATAACTTTCATTGTTTCATCATGAAACCTATGTTAGAAGAAGTTAAGGTCATCTGAACACAACACAGAAATCCACAGATACTTCAGGAAATTTGACCTTTTCACAACTAGCGCAACAACCCAGAAGACAGAAATCTTCATACTCACCGCTGTGAAAACCTCAAATCTTACATACTTAGCTTTGCTTGCTTGCTGCTTTATTTCATGTGCATCTGCCCATGTTAACATTTGAAACAATTCTTGAATTTTCATGAATCTTGATAAAGAGTATCATGTCACCAGAGGCCATTCCACTGTTTGTACTTCCTAATTTCTTACCACCAGTAATATCAGTATGACTTCATTGAATTTGTGTGGTGTTTGATATAATTTATACTGTCACAATAACATCCATCTACACTTATCACTGTTATATATTTTTACGCAGTGTTTGGTCATACATATACATACAAATTTAGTACTATGTCAAACATTATACACATGGCAATAGAATGGAACTTCTAAGGTTACATCTGATAAACTTAATATAGTTAGAAAATAGCACAGAAATGGATCATCAAATTGTGTGGTTTATAATATATAGTTATTGATATTCTCACTGTGGTTTGAAGCATTTGAATGAAGGTATTGTAAGTTCTCAGAAGTTTGTGTTTTAATTTAGATTTTTGTGGACAATTGAGAAAAATTCTGTTGCAGAAAACTGGAATCAATACTGTGTAGTTTCTGATTACAGGGTAAGCACCAGAGTCCCTACAGCCTGAGTGTATTCAGACACGCTGAACAACCCTTGTGTCACCATTTTTACCATCATTCACTGCTGTCTGACTGTATCATGTTTGAGGGAATATAATAATAGCACTCATAATTTGATGCTAAAAATGAAACATTAACCATTAAATTCTACCTATAAAAATGATTGAATTCAACTAAACTACTTCCATGGAACAGAGTTCTTGATAAGCTGACAGTAACTCAGTCAGTCAAGAAATTCCCTGCTTTTCATGGAACCCAAGTTCACAAGAGTGCATCATTAGACTGTATCCTCAACCAGTGTAATCCAGTCCACATCCTGACATGTCTAAGATCCATTTTAATATTATCATCCCATATATACCTAGGTTTCTTGATTAATTTCTTCTTCATATTTTTCAACTAAAATATATACTTTTTGTATCTTAATTGCGTCATGTTTGTGTTATATCAATACATATATTTATTTTTCCAGTCTATACACAAAACTTGTTTTAAAATAATGTTGTTAAAATTATTTATAACATTTACAATATAAATTGCATTATGTTATATTTTATGGCGCTTTTCTGTGTCGTCTAATATTACATTTATCACAGCGCTTTTGATTTCGACAACATGTTTCGATATTTACCACATCATCATCAGGCTTATCAATTCATATATTTTTAAAAACTATTGTACATTTGTGCATTGCGTTTATAGATTTTTTTTATAGATTTTAAAACAAGTTTTGTGTATAGACTGGAAAAATAAATATATGTAAAATATATACATTTTTCATCTTCCATGCATACATGTTCCACTGAAATTATCATCCCAATAATAAGATTTTTCTTTGCTATTATTACACATACAACATATCTACATTTACATTAAAATATCTAAAATTAGGTGCATGTGCTTCATGGGTATTGACTGCAGGAATCATGTGAAGAAACTGTTAATAATTACAGCTGTATGCATATTCCTACTCTGGAACTGCTTTATGGATTTTGATTGTAGCTTACTTGGTACTGGGAGTGCCCACTAATTTTTAGACAAGTTTAATTTTGGTCCATATCAGTCAAATGTAACATATAGTTTATAGTAGAACTTGTACTTAGCTAAGTGACAAGTTCTACTCCTGTGAATAACAGCATCTAGTGCAGTGTCACTTCAAATATTTTGTCAAATACCCTTTTCATGTCTAGCGTGAATCCAGTTTGAACCATTTGACTAAATGTATTAATTTCCCTGATGCCACTGATGATGACTTCTTGAGGTCGAAACGCGTATGGCAGTAGTGTCTTTTTATAGTGTTAATAGTTGTTGGTTTACTTACTCTATATAGTTTACATGATTCAGAAATCACAAGTGAACAACTTGTTCAATAATTCTGAGATCTGAGGTCCTTGTGGTAGGTTAGATGTTGATTGTGGTCTTGTCAGTTATGAGGTTGTGTAGCCTTGTAGGTGGTATGACATAAAATATAGACCTCATTAAGACCTGTTATCCAAATTTGAATTATTTTCCAATGTGACATTAATTTAACAAATGAAAGGAGAACAAGTTATAACTGTGAAGTGTAATGCTTCTACTGCTGATCAGTTTCTGCAATAGAATTAAGGACTCTTGATCTGTTGGTTAGACTAAGTACTACCAATGGACCCAAACAAGGATACTTATTGTAAACATCCATTGCTGCCTCTCCCATTGTCAAGAGTGTCTTGCCATTAGCATCATTTTCAAACATGGCATTGAATAGCTGGTCTCTGTCTAAGTTCTCAACAAAGGCTTCAGCATGGAATGCCATTTCCTTAGCTCGAGCTTCAGCCTCCATTCTGCTTTGTCTTTCTTTTTCCTCAGTCTCTTCTAATCGTTTTAGAATGGTCCTGAAAAGAATGTCATTCTGTCAGATTCCAGTATTCCTGCACATGAATGTCTTTGCCAAAGACAATTTAATTACTCTGTCCAGACCAGGAGTCAGCATCCATTTTTGAGTGGTGGACAACTAAGAGAAGCATATAATTTACAGGACACATTGTATGTATCTACTGTAAAAAGAGGCACCAATAGAATAATTAGAATATTAGTAGCTTTACACCTTGTGTTCTGACACTAAGACATTTTTAAAAACTCTTACCATATACCAACCCACAAAAGAAGGAGGATAAAAAACTAATGAATAGATATTTATTCTCTTAAAGAATGTCACCATTATTTATATGTGAAGCCCCTCAATTTATGTGACGCTTGAACAATCTAAATATTTAGAACTTCCCATCAGTCCAGTTTATATAGTTTTATGGGCTACATGTATGAAATAAGATTCTTAGTTTTTGTTTTCTCACACTCAGATGTAATGTAGTTGTACTATAACAACGCATTCAGATAAAATGTTTTTGTATTTTCTTAATAATAATGACAACAACAGTGATGATGAAGATGATAATAAAAATTAAGAAGGAAGTGGAGAAGATCTTGAAATACAAGGACCTTCTCATTGAAATACAGCAAATGTGGAAAGTAAAAGCAAAAGTAATCCCAATAAATATGGGAGCAACTGGAACTGTTTCCAAGCCACTCATAACATTTGGCCAGAATCCCGGGCAAACACGACATTAGGGAATTTCAGAAAACTGCCATTCTAGGAACATCATACATAATTTGAAAGATGCTGATGTAAAATATTTAGTATATATAGTCATGCCTCACAATAACACTATACAATACATGTAATGCATATTAAAAACAAAATGTATTTAGGAAATAGCTGCTGCACTATGTACCTCAGGGGCAAGGTTTGTCTCAGGTACATAGAAGTAAATACCCTGTAAAATGGTGAATAGATGGAATAATAACAATAATACAAAATAAACTATATATTTTCAGGTTGTTGTCCTGCTTGCTAAATGTAACTGCTGTCACCAATTTTTGTCTAATTTTCTCACATGATGAGTTCAGTATACTACAAAAGATTATGAACAGTTGTGCTAATGTTATCATGATGATAAGAAGTATGTTCCAAAAGAATGTTTGATGCTGGTTTTGTATTGTCAGTGGTGAACCTGGAGCTTAATACAACTTTGTACAGATAGGAGAGATAATGATTCTGCAATAAACTGTATAGGTAAGTTATGTCTTTTATTTTCTTTATGCAAATCAGCCATATCATACTGATAAGATTAGAGAGGCCTGTTACAAAACATGATTGTGTATTTAACCATAATCTCTAACTTATGTTCTATACTGTATCTAGGTGGCCCTATTGTCTCACCATATACTGCTGCAACACTTTTTCAATCAGAGCAATAGCCTTTTCTTAAGGTTGGAAAGGTTTTAGTTATTAAACTCTACCTTAGGTTTGCATTGACTAAGATGATGTCAATTTCTATGTATTGTGGAAGCAAACAATTCTGATATTTACATCTTTAAACTTCACAGTTTTGTTTTCTTGCAGTTACTGTCTTATTTTTTTATAACATCATACTTACCTATAGCTTATCTCTGCAGTTGCTCGTTCTTCTGCTGAAATGATATGGTACTCATAGTATGTCAGCTTTGGCAAGAAGGCACAAATATATTCTTGAAAATCCTTATCTCCATTTTCTACACAAGGGTTCCCTGCCATATTCAATGAGCGGAGACAAGGAAATTGACGTAAATAAATCACCTGCACATATAATTGGCATATTCCGTACCATTATTGAACCATTCTGTCCTGAGTAAATGTAAACAATTTAATAAAAATTATTTGGGAAGCTTTTGTGACAGTTACTTACATCATTACGGCTTTTGATTTGGTTATTTCCAATACTGAAGATCATCAGGTTAACAAGATTTTCCATGTTCTCAAGTTTACTGATTCTGTTTTCAAATAATGTTAATACTTCAAGTTTTACAAGTTTTTCCAAATTTTCAATAACTTTAATGCTGTTGAAGGACAGGTCAAGTTACAAGTTTTTCCAAATTTTCAATAACTTCAATGCTGTTGAAGGACAGGTCAAGAGCCTTTAAATTCACCAGTGAGTTCAAACCTTCAATTTTCTCAATAATGTTATTCCCAAGTTGGAGTTCCACCAATGATGTCATCATCCACAAATGATCTATCTTCAAGATATCTAAAGAAATACACACACACATACCAGTCAAGTGATATATAGGGCACGAAGGTTGACAAGAAAAGATGGGTCATAGACAGACAATGAAAATAAGAAATGGCAGAACGTTACTGTAGAAGTAACACTGCTGTTTGAGAGGTACTAATATCAAATCTTGATTGTGTTACTGCCTATTCTGATTGACTTTTTCATAATTTTCCTCAGTTTTTTTAGGCTAGGCACATACTGATACAGCATCTTGAAAATGGCCAACATAATCTCTGTACATTCTTCTCCATATTTACAAGAAATGTCCTTTATAAATTGATGCCATGTAACATTTGCAGTTGAAACAGTGATGTTACCTTACAAATCATTTATCCACTGGTACTAGTGATATCCTCATTAGTTCTTCTTTATTTATTTAATTGCAGTGTTGACACATTCATGCTTTTCAACTCACAGACTGTATACAACATATATAGACAACTGTAATGTATCTTCATGTAAATTAACTGTAAGAATGCATGAATTTATCATTAACGAACCAATAAACCCAACCATAGAAAATTTATTTTTTATTAATTTTACTCTTTACAAACTACATGTCTGCTTAGTTGATAATAAATTTCTAAACTGAACTAACTTAAGAACTGAAGTCTGAGGCTTGTAACCTCTTGAAGTATAATTCCTTCCTCTGCTGCCAATCTGCCTGCTTCTCCTGTTGGTCTTTCATTTTCCAATGCTTTCATTATCATTACTGTATCAATTACACCTGGTTCAAGGTCTTCATAAATTATGCTCATGTTTGGTATGATTTCTAAGAATGGCAAGTAATAACACTTTACAGAATAAAAACTGTGAGAGTTATTTATAATTAATAATTTAAATTAGTCAAATGTTTAAATTCTGTTTGGTTTTATGCAATCATTTTAAATCTGAACTCAAAGCCATTCTTGTTTCACTTCATTACAACCCATGCTATATAGCATACTCATGTGCCAATGTTTGGCGTCGCTTGTTGCCATGACAACGAAAGGAAGGAGACAGTACGGAAGTGATGTCTTTGGGTTGGAGGGTGTGTTGCATCACATGATTGTCATTTGTCAGTAAAACATGTCTTTCTTTGGAGGAAATCCATTCGCTTCGCCCGTTGGGCAAAGAATAGGTAATAGTGTACAGTTTTATTCTGTTTTTGTATTGTAGTAAGTGTTAAGCAATAATTTTATGTGTAATGCCGTTTTTTTGTAAATGTTACTATACGAAGGAGACTATGGGTGTAATTATGGTACATGAAAGTGTAACAATTGACTATCGATCTAATTTTTTTCTGCGTAGCGGATTGTCTTTTATACAAAAATACCACAAATTGTTGTTTGAACTACACGAAGGGTTGCTCTTATTTACTGTGTATCAGATGAGACGGAAACTTTTCAGTTGTTGGTCATCATATTTTGTGTATGCAAAGTCAGTACTTTATTTCCCGTGACAGCTGGCAGTGTGGTATTGGAAGGCAGCGAAGTGATAAATGCAGTTTGTAGGTGAATAAGGAACACAGGTGTTGTTTCAGTGAGGAGGTCTGACTGTTATGAATGCTAACCTTTTTTTTTAATATTGACACTACGGTAGACGTAGTTAATACAGTATGCCAAATATGCTTATCTTTATTTTTTTTGACGTAAATACGTCTATATTTTAGGGTCAGTGTCATTCGCAAAAAAGTGTTACAAAAAAGGGAAACGAAAAAGTATAACTTCATTGTTATGTTACCTTCATTGTTATGTTACCTGGGAAACGTCATCTGTTTATCAACAAATAAACAACAATGGTTACCTTGGAAACCACAGTACATTAGATTACCTTACCTTACATTACCTTACCTTATATTATATTAAATTACATTACTTTACATTACATTCATCTACCACAGACCCATTTTAAGCGTAACTAATTCAAGTTAAATAAGCAATGTCTTAATCAAACTTATCTCAAATATAAAGCATGTTTGAAGGAAATATTTAGAATAAAGCCAATGTATAAACTTCCTTTCCGTATAGACGTATTTACGTCAAATTCTCCGGAGCCGTGGTCCCACTGACAATTTTTGTTTTTGTTTTGCAGAACAAGCCACAGATGCTTCCCTAGCGTCAGAAAACTGGGCATTGAACATGGAAATATGTGACATTATTAATGACACAGAAGATGGGCCCAAAGATGCAATAAAAGCTATCAGAAAACGCCTAACACAAAATGCTGGGAAAAACTACACTGTGGTTATGTATACCCTTACTGTATTGGAAACGTGTGTCAAGAATTGTGGGAAACGATTTCATATTTTGGCATGCAATAAGGAGTTTGTTCAGGAGCTAGTCAAACTTATAGGTATGTTGTAAGTGACACGTTCTTGTTTTTATGTCAGTTAAATTACTGTTTCATTTTATCCAACTGTAAAATTTGGCTGTCACAATTTTGTGCCGGACAGGTCAGGTTAGTGTATTTTACGTTAATTTACTGTATATTTTGTTTATACTGGGTCTAGTATTTATTAATAAAATTTGAATGTTATGTGGAGCTTGATGGTATATGGCATTATAGGGGTACATGCTAAAGAGGCGAATATGTGTGGTATCTTACATTTTTTGTTGTTGGCTTACATCTCTGCATACTTTAGGTGTCACAGACATTATTCCAATGGTTAAAGTGCAGAATGTGAATTGGTTACTGATCATGTTACATTCCAGGGCAGTCTTTGATAATATAATGCTGTCTCTGACTTTGCTTAATTATATATTGCTAAATTAAGAATAATAGGTCAGGTCAGGAAGAAACACGAGGATTTGATGCTGTTCCCCTCTTCTCCACCTCCCTTCCCTCTGGTCTCTAATATCACCTTCCTTATATCCAACTGCAGTGTTACATGTTGATAAGTAACGTACTGAAAAATACTGATTGTTTCAAATCTGACACAAAGTAACCCAAACCTCGAATATTGCATGACAGCTGAAGTAATGATTAGGTTATGGATAGAGTGTGCTGAGGTATGAGGTGATAAGAGGCACAGGGAGAAGGGAGGCAGAAAAGACTTGATCCACTTATTCTGAAATATTCTACTGATTGATGTTTTTCACTCATGGGGAATATTATAATTTAATCTAATGAAAATCATATATATTATTCACGGAAGTAAATGAAAATAATGCAACCTGAATGGAACACAAAAAATGAAAGGAAATTAAAATATTCTATACTCATTTGTCATGTATGGTAATACTGTCCCTCTGTTTGTGTTGATAGCAAAAAAAGTAAGTTGAATCGCATGCTTTTAGAAGGAGAATATACAGTAATGTCCCTCATGAAAGTGTAATTGCATCACTTCTGATTGCAAGTCAACACTTTGCTTTTCGTGTGGCACTTTCAATGGTGTTGGTGTTGCTTCTTGACTCATCCCAAAATGTAACAATATTTCACTGTTAGGTGTCAGAAATCTAGCAATCATCCTATTGGAATTAATAATATGCTTTTCAACCAATGAGATACTAGTGCCCAGTTTGACTTTGGCTCCTAATGATTTCACAAAGCATCCGTTTGCTGACAGTTATTCCTCTGAAAATTTTTATCAGTCTGTCTTGAAAATATGACCTGCTTCACGAGTTTTTATGGGAATCTGTACAATGTTCGTGCAGACCTTGTGACGGTTGTACTTGTCGATACTTGTGATAATTTTCAACTCTCTTACTTCTCTTTCTGGGGATACTGATAGGTGTAGAAGTACAAGGGAGTTCTGAAAGTGAGGTTCAGTTGTTGAGATGTAGGAGTGTATTCTGTTTCTTTTAGTCATGAAAGGCAGTGTGATTGAAGGGGTAGCAGGGATGGAAGCATATACTATCCAAATTGTAAACATTTTCCAGTGGCAGTACTTCATAGCTTGCTGCCTCATTTCTTACATCAGTAATGTTTCTGGTTTTACTTCTACTTGCAAGCTAATGATGCAGGTGGACACGTGGAACATATGGTATGGTCCTAACCACTGTACACAAGGACATACGAGGGTGAGTCAAATGAAAACCGTAAAACTGAGATAAAAATTCGAAATATCGCGCCATTGTCCTATAAGTTGACAGACATGTTACCAATGCTATAAAGAGTATCCTATAGGTGGTAGTATAATGCAGACAAACATATCGCCATCACAGTGCCAATTTTCTAAATGGCTGCTCCACTAGTTACATGCATGAAAGAAGAACAACGTTCTGTAATTCGTTTTTTGATTAGTGAAGAATCTTGAAGAATCATCTTCGACCTGCAGTCAGATCAAAGCGACGTGGACTTTTGACTAGAGGTGTCCTTGACGTGACAATGCTCGGCCCCATACTGCCCGTGCAACAGTTGCAACAATCCAAGACTTGCACTTTGAGTGTCTTCCACATCCGCCATACTCACTAGACCTAGCCCCAAGTGATTACCACATGTTTGGGCCACTCAAAGAGGCGATGGGAGGAAAGAAGTTCCGTTCTGACGAAGAGATACAGCAGGCGGTGCATGAGTGGTTGCGCAGACAACCACAAGAATTTTTTTCTAGAGGAATCCATACACTTCGTAAACGCTGGAGGGCCTGTATCGAACGAAATGTAGACTATGTAGAAAAATGATATAGTTGTGTACCGCTTTCATTCAATAAATTAAATTTAAAAAAAAAAATTACGGTTTTCATTTGACTCACCCTCGTACATAAATACAAGTGCTTGCACATAAGGACATTGAAACATTATTTTTCAGTGTAATCACTCTTATTCCAGTAAAAACGCATTGCACTGAAGTCATTAGTAAAGGAATCCTATTAATAATCCTGCAATGAGGTAATTATCACCACAATATCATCATTCACAAACTGCTACCCTGGTAAATGCTGTTTGAGGGTCCCAAAGACATGAAAGATCGAGTGCTACTACACTTCCTAACAATATCACTGGAACCATTGTTGGGTTCATCAGGCTGTGTGTGGTCTTACGTTTTCTTGGAGCATTAGCAGTAAACTGCTGATGAATTTGTGTTGGTGTGTTGCCTTCTGCGTGCAGTAAATGAATCACTTCTCGCCTCTATGTTTGTCCAACCTTCCAGTCATGCTGCCATTTTGGTTTGGATGTAACGTGTACATGCACAGGTCTAGTGCCATCGTCTTGCTGTTCAAACAAGTATACATATCCCCTGAACAGATTCCAGTAAAACCCTTCCACTCATAAACATTTTAATCAATGTTATACATCATTATAAGGGAGTGAGATTCAAGTGTTAAATGTAAGTCCTTTCTTGGAATACATTCAATATGGTAACTACATTCTATCAGTTCCTCTAAGATGGACCTCAGGGCATTGTAGTGCCTAGAAACATTGTAGCACCCAGTATTTTTTAGAGTTATTTTATTTACTTTATGTATGTTTTGCCTTTTGGAAATACCAGCTCAAAAGTTATTATACAAAGAGGTCTTCATCTTGGGCAGCAAATAATCTGGATACCAAAATCTTGGTCGAGTGATCATTTGCAATCATACGTATTACATTGAATGATTGGTAGACTTTATATATTTGCAATGTCATTAGGTGGTACGAAGTTGACTTATGTACTGATTAGAAGGGATAGACAAATCTGCATCTTTGTTATAGAGTAAATTTTTGCAGAGTGAATGTGATAAAGAGTGCTGTGTAGCCTAGTAGATTCCACCAACATTTCAGAGGTCATGCTGCCACTGTCATGAGGGTGCAATTGGCTCATTCATCGCCCTGGTGACGGAGGCAGCATGACCTCTGAAACGTCGGTGGACATCTACTGGACTACACAGCACAACAACTCAGAAGACAGCAATCTTCAGACTTACCGCTGTGGAAACCTCAAATATTACAAAATATGTGATTATTTCTTTTCTAGTTTATTAAGGTAGTTTATCACAATATTTTTTATTATATTTTGTAGGGAATCTTTAAGTTGGAAATATTAATTTTGTCCAGTATGTCAGAATATCTGGTAACCAAAATTTATCTTTATTTTTCAGGTCCAAAGAATGATCCTCCAACAGTTGTTCAAGAAAAAGTGCTTAGTCTGATTCAAAGCTGGGCTGATGCATTCCGTAATCAAACAGAATTATCAGGTGTGGTGCAAGTTTACCAAGATTTGAAACAGAAAGGAATCGAGTTCCCAATGACTGATCTAGATACAATGGCTCCCATTCTTACACCACAGAGGGTAAGAATTTTTGAGTAAAGAATTCATCTGCGAATGCTGTGCTTAATATGGAAACATACAGGGTGTTGTCAAAGGCTCCTATGAACAATGTAACATCCTTGGGTTCCATAAAAGGCAGGGTATGGATGGCTGCCACCTATTCACAGATGACTATGCTCCTTGGATTTGTGATTAATGCATTGGGAAATGCATATAACATTGTGGCTGGAAAAGTTAAAGGGATAATACGTTAGGTGTAGATGGGAGGACAATGTTAAAATTCATTTTAAAGATGATTTGAGGGTATGGAATTGATTCATGTGACTCAGGATAGGGTGCAGTGGTAGGCTTTTATGACCCCACAAATTAACCTTTGGGTACTGTAAATGGCAAGATGTTTCTTGCGCAGCTGAGTGGGTATCAGCGTTTCACAGATGACTCTGCTCCAAGGAATTGGAATGTTTCTGCTTCTGTGACAGAGCGTTCCAGATGCAGAAGTTGCAGTGGGTGTGCCAGCTGTCCCAACTCATGTGTCAACATCACCGATACCTGTTGTGTCACCGCATGTGGCACCCCCAGGGTCCCCCGCCACCCCTGCTACTCAGGTGGGACCTACTGTCCTTACTTCAGACCAACTTGGCAAACTGCAGAGTGAACTGGATGTGGTGCAGGGAAACATGGTGGTTCTGAGTGAGATGCTGACTGAACTCACTCCTGGCAAAGAACATCCAAGTGATCTGGAATTGTTGCAGGCAAAGTGTACCTTTTTGATCAAGGGCATGTAGTTTTTAAGTCTGAATACCTTGAGCCTTGGAGACGGATTAGCACAGTCAGTTCAATGATTAGGCTGTGTGTGTGAGGTTCAGCTTATATTTGTTGTTTCTCACGTAAATTAATTCATTGGTATGATGTATAAAGTGAAGCTTTCACGGTGACTGAAGTTGATGAAAGACTCTAGGGTTACAAGCCGCGTCAGGTGGCTGAGTGGTGAGTAAATCATATCTTCTGCCAACATTGCGAGAACAATGTCTGCTGTCATCCTCAGGGCTGCTGCATAGCAAATCTGATCCTTTGTTGCGCGCTACAAAGGATCAGATTTGCTACGCAGCAGCCCTGAGGATGAGAGCAGAGATTGTTTCTGAAATTTTGGTAGAAGGTATGGTTTTGTTCACCATCCAGCAGCCTGACACAGCTCGTAACCCGAGAGTCTTTCATCATTGGTATGAATTCAAAGAGACAGGGAGTTTAATATTTCTTCTTATGTACATTAAAGATTGGTTAAAGTGATTTGAGTATGTTCAGGATAAGAGATGGAGGCAATAGGTTTCTCCAGAATGTTTGTAACCACTGACAAGATTTTACAGGGTTACAGTCCATATTTTTACCACTACAGGCATACTTTGGAAATATTGTGGGTTCGGTTCCAGACCACCGCAGTAAAGCTAGTCACACAATTTTTTTGGTTTCCGAGTGCATATAAAAGTTATGTTCACACTATTAAGTGCGCAATAGCATTATGTCTAAAAAACAATGCGAGAATTACCAAAATGTGACACAGAGACACAAAGTGAGCACATGCTGTTGGAAAAATGGCGCCAATAGACTTGCTCGATACAGGGTTGCCACAAACCTTTAATTTGTAAAAAAAAAACGAAATATCTGCAAAACGCAATAAAGTGAAGCGCAGTAAAACGAGGTATGCCTGTATAAATATTTCATATCTCCTGTGACCTGTGTGATATGAGTTCTGCCATAAATAATTTGTAGTTTAATTATTTGTCTTAATCTGATGTGCAGGAGCTTCACAGCACATGTCAGAGCATGCAGCACCGTCTTGTGGAGCTCATAGGGAAGTTAGCAAATGATGAGATAACTGCAGAACTCCTTCGAGTTAACGATGAATTAAATAATTTGTTTTTAAGGTAAGTAACATAGTATTTGTTAATATTGTCTTTTAGAAAAAGGTGTTATCGCTAAGAATCATTTTTTATTTGTGATACTTTATTGCAAGTCACAGGCACTGTCAGTAATATTGTTCTAAACATCAAGCCCCAAATGTTTAAAACTGTTTGTCACCAAGATCTGTGAGGCATGGGGGGTTCTCAAAGTGTGACCCAGTGATGGGTTTTGTGTGCCCTGTATGCTTTTTTTTTGGTATTATTGTGTCACTGTGTGCTGATAAATCATTATCCGAGTTCCAGAATAAAATTTTATTAATGTCAGCATTTGACACAACCAATCACTGTAAGGAACTATGAAAAACACTTGGAGGGATACATGCAAAACTAAAAAAATAGAAATTAAACCTGATAACTGAAGTATTATTCAAGCAAAAACATTTTTCAGATATCTCACCTGTGGCTGACTGTTAGAGAAAGTTAATGAGTAATACGTAAACCAGACCAAGGCATAATTTAGTCATATTTTAATAAATTGACATAAAGATAAGAAAGGGTGAATGTGGTTCTAGGTTTGGAAAAGGTTGAGAATTATTGGTTTGCATCTGAACTAAGTTGAAATATGGACACATTTAGTACAGTTCTTGCAATATTAACGAATGGATATTGTTAAAAGTCACTTTTGTTTGTAAATAAATAGTCCAGTGATTCCATAGCTCAGATTGTAGATTTATTAAGATTGTAGGTACCCTCTGTAGCATTATGAATGTACATCAGAGTCATTTTTTTTTGTTAGTGCAGAAAAGTTCTGTGAGCTTCAACATGAGAGTCAGGAGGTCCTGCTAGTGGCCATTTCAGGATTTCAACATATAAGGGCTGGTGACTATTAGAATAATTAATTTTGTAGTTCCTTGAGAGAGGATGTTTGTTAGTTGTAATGTTGCTATGAAAACAAGACTCTGTAGTTTTTATGAATATGTGTCCCCCATTATAAACTCATCACAAATAAAGCAGGTAGTGGAATCACGTGAATCATCCAGAGAAACAAGGTTCTCAACTGAGAAGATGATGGTGACCATGTTCCGAGGTTGTATAGTAGGTAAAGATGGTTGTCTCCTGAGTTGTTGCATCATGTAGTCTGTAATCTGGTTTATGTTTAAGATGTGCTTGTTGCCTCCATCATGAGGGTCATTGTCGTGATGGAGGTAGTAAGCAGCAACCGAGAAGATGGCCATCTTCATACTTGTAGGCATAAGAACCAGAAATCTCATCTGTCAGGTACATTTTCACAAATATAAGAGAATTAATAGCATGTGCTTCCTGTGTACCTAGACTGAAAATGTTTCGTACTGATTTTTTTAATGGTACGGTTTTAGTGCATGCAACCTTTTTTTATTATTTCAGATATAATAGGTTTGAAAATAACCGTGAGGCTAGTCTCCAGACTGTCAAGGCCCCAGCATCTCAAGTTGTGATAGCAAATCAGAAGGCTGCTGTAGAAGCTGGAGGTGACTCTTTGATAGATCTAAGTGATGATGGAGCCCCTGTTATTGGTGCCACAGGAACTGCTGCTGTTCCTGGCCTTAACACCAAACTTGCTGGACTTAGTATGTTATCACAATTCTTTGAAGGCAGTGGATAGCAGAAATTTAATCTTTTTATCCAGAATTTTAGTATTAGTGGAAGAAAATAACACTTCAGTGCTGTGAGGCCTACTTGGTTGTGTTCCAGTTTTAAAATTTTCAGGTGCATTCAGATATTGGATTGGAACATTATTTGCTAAATGTTTAACTTACTTTGACAGAAGTTGCCTTTATATTTCCTTTTATTTTTATGTATGGTACACCATTATATAATTTTAAACTTATTTTCTTTTACTTTCACATATAAGTCTTGGACAGACTTGTTAAATAGGTCACAACTGTTTCATATCATTTGCCTTAAGATATGTAATTTCACAATCAGATCACATGTCATTTAATGCTCTGCAGTGTTAGCAGTTAAAAACAGTATTAGAATTAAAGACAATACCTTTATTTGTTATCAGGTTTAGGGAGTGGTAATGCAGCGGCACAGCTGACTATGATTAGCAGCGTTCCAGCCCAACAAGGGTCACAGCAGAAGGAAAAAGAAGATACAGACTTTGATATGTTCGCTCAGTCCAGAAATGTCACGTATGAGTCTTCCAAAACAGGGTAAGCTGTTCCTCACATTGAACAGTTAAATCAAACTAATGTGTTTGTTTTTTCTTAATAATGTATTGTCCTGTAGATTATATGTACAGTGATGGAATGTTTGTGCTGCCATGATGGGTTCTTAGTAGTCCAAGGTTAAGGAAATGGATAACCAGGAAGAAGGCCCCATGAACAAGACCAAATTCAGTGTGAATTTTTCTTCATGCATTCTTTATATGCCATCTCTGGCAAACTCTTTGTACATGTTCAGAATATCAAACCAAAAATGTGTGGATTTCATGTTAAACTGTAGATCTATGCTAACAATCTTCATCATCATCTTATCATCTGTACTTTACCAGTAGATTTTTTGTAAATCTATCAATATTGATATACACTACAGTTTTAACAGGGAAGGAGATTACTCTTTAGTCTGATTTGAAAGACAGTACTGCAGGTACTTGAGCTAGAGAAAGAATGTTACAGAAATAGTAGGCCAACAGGTTCTCTTTTGCCTGGATGAAATGGTCTTCATAATTTTTGTATTTTTTTTTTATCAATTGTCTGTACCACCACTTTCTTACAGAAGAAATATCACAAAATTGGTGTTGAAGGATTTAGGTTTAAATCTTGTGAGATTTCAGGTTCTTAACCGCAACGAGTGTGAAGATGGCTGTCTTCATAGGTTTAAATCCGCTTCCTTATTGGCCACAAACTGCAACACAGAATTTTCCACTGCCTCATTCCCAGAACTGGTAGATGCTGTAGTGAATATGAAGACACCTGGAATTTCCAGAATGTCTGCAGACCAACCCATTACAACAAAGTTTCATCTGTGAAGACTTGATACTAACTGCCATGTTAATCTGCAGACTTCTATAACACTTGTCTGTATCCTGTCATTAAAAGTCAGAATGAGTGTTCCCTGTATTAATCTGTGTGTTTTTTTACAGTGGCAGCACATATCAAGATAACTTGGAACCAGATCAGTTGAATGCACCATTAGGAGCCATCGCCCAGAATCGGACGCAAGCAGTTGTAAGTACAAGAAAACCGCCAAGCGTATTTAGTGTATTGGGACAATAGAAGTAATCTTTTCTTATATTGCATCTTTTGAACACTTATCTGTATAATTATATGAGATCATGAAGTTTGTGATAAGGGATAATTTAATAGATTATTGCAGTAATTGAATTTCTGACTTAAAATTATCAATTCCGGAAACAGAGTCATAGGAAGTTGTGCATCTGCCCTGACACAATTTCAAATGGTCATGTTTTGATAAGAAAAATTGAATATATAAATTTGACCTAAAGCACAACACTTTAGTATTTAGTATCATCATATTTTTTAAATTAAAATTTTGTTAGACAAAAATGAATTTATGAGATTTGGGGTTTTCACAGCTTTGAAGATTTGAAATGTAATAGGGTTTTGAGGCTATATAGTCTCGTAAGTCCACAATTTCTCTGAAACATAGGTGAAGTGTCTGGAGCGTGAAGCTAACAATTCACATCTGTCATCCACCCACTACTGATGTCTGGAATACATGGACGTTTGCCAGCATGTCCCCTATGTGCACTCATGGCATAGTTTAATAGGCACATGGGCAACTTCAAGTTTGGCTACTAACAGCAATTCTTTGAAGTAGGAATAATATCAGAAGACTGCATGATGCTATAGCTTGTTTAATGGTTATAAATAGATCTGATGCTCAGATAGTGTTCATTGGACAAACAACATGAGTTTTCAATAGAAAATGATCAGTATTTTGGGAATTGTTGGTTGTGTCGCTGGTATTTGTTAAATTCTTGTTGCTGTTCTTATATATAGAGTGGTTTATTACTTAGTTTACAGCCTTATTACTGCTGCTTCATAGAGGGTGACACCAGAAGTGGTGATAGCCCAGTACCACAATGTCTGATTGAGGGTTTTGTCTGCTCAGAAATGTTATATCCTCCAACCTTCAAGGATATTATTTCAGACAGGCATAACGAGCTCTGTGATGCAAGTTGGGAAGTTCACATTCTGTGTATCTAGAATAAATTAGAATTTTGATCTGTAAATACTGTATCTAGGTTGTGTGAATTATTTCTGTAGACTTTCTGCTTCAGGTCTCCCCCCAGATAAAAATTGCGCACATCCAGCTGCAGAGAATGTGGCTGCCAAATCCTTTACTCGTTATTTTTTCATTCAGAACAGTATTTGGCATCAGCGCTGAATTTTGTGTGATGTATGTTGCATCTTACTCAAAATATTTATAATTAATTCTCAACTAGACATGTTTATCCATTATGGTTGGACACCACAAATGCAGTAAATGCTCAGAGTAATGGCCGTAAACAAATGTTGAGTGATTCACAGAAGTGAACTGCACAGTTCTTATGTCAGTTTATGTTAATGCATGACTCATACTCTAATGTTCAAGAATTGAATGACTTTTATTAGTGAGGAAGCATTGACAAAGTCCTGCAGAAATAATTCACATACTTTGGATGCTTAGAGATTAAAATCTGAAATGTTCTTCTATAAATCACAGAAGGTGAACTTCACTGTGTCAGAGATTTTGTTATGTAATTGCAAATTTTTCTTGGGTGTTTGAGGACATGTTTTTCAATATCTATTGCACTGTCAAATTAGTAATGTGGCTTTACTAGAAACTTTTTGAGCATGGATGGAAACTTCAATTAGATTGTGTGATGGTGTGTTATCTGTCCACTTGCTGGTGTCTTGCTATTTGAACAGGAGCTTTAAAGCCATAAATGAATGTACAGTTTTGTATATAAAACACCCAACATTGAACTTCAGTTATCATTTTACATGAATTTTGCAATACCAGTACAATTTTATATATAAAGAAATGTCAATTAGATGAAAACATGTTTCATACCTGAATCTTAGTCACTAATGTGATAAAAATAGTATGTGTTGCACATTTTCTTCATTCTTGAAGATTTCTGTCTTCTGGGTTGCGCTGTGTAGTCTGGTCGATGTTAACCAACGTTTCAGAGGTCATACTGCCTCCGTCATTGCCCTGATGATGGAGGCAGTTTGACCTCTGAAACATTGGTTAACATCGACCAGACTTCACAGCGCAATAACCCAGAAGACAGAAATCTTCATACTCACTGCTGTGAAAACCTAAAATTTTCTTCATTGTTGTTTACTGTCTCTTCGAAATCATGTGATTCTGTCATATTGGTGGCTGTGTTTGTTTCAGAGTATGGAAGGTGTGTAACTGGATCAGATTAACTGTTCTAAACAGTAGCTCTATTTTTGATTATTTTCCTTAAATGTATTTTAAAATTCCTTTTTTTAATCACCAATGTTGCTCACTACAGTTTTTGTTTAAATTCTGATCAATGTTGGATCACAGAGATTAAAATCCAGCTACTATGTTGTATTAAGACATTTACATGATCAGCATTTTTTCATTTGCCTTCCTTTCCACATGTTTCTCTTTTTAATGTCTGTATGTAGGTATTATAATGCAACAGAGCTGTTTATGTATATTTTGTGTTGCTTTATACTGTGTCTGCTGATTCGTTCAGATGCGTTCATGATATAAACTGTTACAGAAACGCAGGAGTTGAATGTGCATCATTTATAAAGAATTTATCTATTTGTCTTCTTTTTCTAATTTTTTCTTTCCAGAGTCAAAGCATTATAAATTAAAAGTGTGATTAGTTTATCAGTTACAGATTATTATCATGGTTGTAACTGAGCTGTATCAAATTCTGTACAAGCTCAGTTTACAAGCAGTTGTCTGTATGAATGTAATACAGATTAAATAAAATAATGTTCACATGCAATGTGTAACTGAATAATTATGGATAATCTATAGTATAATGTAATTAATGCACTAAATTGAAGTTGGGAAGTAATGTTTATTGGGCCTCTACTTTTACATGGTTTTTAGAAATTGCATTAATACATCGTGCAATTCTGAAATTTATTGCTTTGTAGTTAACACATTTATACCATAATACCTGGTGTACGAATCGTTTTGAGAGCAAAACAAACATTTATATAAGAAAGCGTAATGTATTTACTCAAATGGAAGACAACCTCCCACTGTAAAACATGCCTGTGCTCAAAAATTGATTCCTTATATTAATTTAATATTTACTACAAACAGATCTACCAATGATAACAAATATTTGAAAATGTGTTATATCTATCAAGTCAGTTTCCTTATTTGTGATCCTCTTCGTGTTTTCACCAATCAGTCTCTCTTTCTCCTCACCATATGTCTTTTTTCCCAGCTTTACTGCCTCTGCAATTCCCATTTTCTTTTACGTATTTACTGTCTTCACTGTATCCGTCTTCATCACCCTCACTGCGGTATATCTTCATGGGAAATTACTGCTTTTTGTTTATAGTTTTAGTGTTGCTTAGGGCAGACCTGTTATAGCTCTTGGCTCCTGACCTTTAAACATATTTCTGTCTATTGCTTTGTATGCTTACAACGTGATAAAGTGTGGTTGTTAACATGTACTGCATCTTGAGAACATCAGCCTGCTTAAAGTTCAAAACATTTAAGAACGCTGATGTATGTTTTATGTTCATATTCAAGATGGATCTTTATTTTTAACAATGAAATTAGGGGAAAAGTCTTGCCTTCCATTTGGGTGAGTATGTTAATTCAGTAAAGTAAAGCTGTTCCGCTACACGCCATGTAGGTCGTTTGGGGGGAGTGGAGGTATAGCTCCTACTCATTCTTGACCTCTGCACTAGATGGGGGTGAGTGGTCAGCATCATGCCCTGGCCTCGCTTTACCCCTGGGGAAAGAACCCCATTGCTCACTGGATAGGAGGCTGGATGGGCCCCAGAGGCTAGAGGAAAAATCCTCTGCCCCTGTCGGGGATCGAACCCCAGTTGTCCAGCCCGTAGCCAGTCTCTATACATGATAATTCAGTAACTAATTTTAAGTCTTGTGCAAGGGAATGACCCATGTATTCATCAGTAATATTTTGTATGATAGGCTAGAAATTTTGAGTTGCTATTTCAGCCGTTTATCAGTGATACAGTGTTCATTGAAAACACCTGATGCAGTATTTATTTTCCTATATTGTGTGACTTCTATTGGTAAAATATTAAAACAAAGTTCCATGGTGTCTCATGTTGAGGTTGGTTTGTCATCAGACCCTCGTTACATTCAAAATAAAAATGGATGAAAGACGGCATGCTTCAGAACTTAATACAACAACATGAATCTCAACCATCAGACATGATGTTATGCAGAATGTTGCATGTGTTAAGATATTCTGAATAGCGATACATTCTTTGTTTAAAAGAGTATTCATTTAAAAGTTGGTCATTGCCTGGAGATGCTGTGATGTATATTTGTAACAGTTACATTGCAATATGATTATTGTGAATAATAAAGTTAGTACTAAAACCCTGTGTTATATGCAGCATGTATGAGAAAACACTGAAGAAAACCATAAATAATCTCAGACTGGGTTTTTTTGTTATATTTCACTGAAAATATACAGGAATCAATGCCAGTGTAGCACATTGTTTAGTTTTGATTTTCTACTTTTCTTCTGCAATCTTACTTTAAAGAGTGTAGTGGTCCCCTTGGAATTTTGTTCTGTGTAGTATTTTGGATGTGTATCAATTTACAGGAAATTATTGCCTGCATCTTCAGGACTGAAGTGAGTAGTTTTAGGAAGTGAATGGTTTTTACAGGGTTAGGAAGGATCAGGACAAGGGAAGTGACCAGTCAAGCTATAGTATGGGGAGGGGGTATGATAGAAGATAGAAGTATAGTCAGTGCAGTAGTTTTTGGCTGGTGGAGAAGCTTGCAGACTTGATTTGGCTTTCAGTTCGATAAGCTCCTTGTCCTTTCTGGAGGCAGGCGAAACATTATATTGTTATCGTACAAGTGACTCGTTCCTAGCCTTCCATTTGAAAATTCCACCGGCCAAAAACTACTGCGCTCACTATACGGAGTAAGGAGGGGGAAAAAGTAAAAAGTGACACTTTTTAGGGGGTAGAAAGGATGGCAGAATCTGGAGGAATTCTTACTTTTGGGGAGAAATTTCCTTTGAAATGTTGGTATACAGCCAAAGTACTACATGGTGCAGCAAGTCAAGAAGACCACCATCTGTACTCATATTGCTGTGATAACTTCACTATTTTCCATTACTGTTACATGAAATTAATTTCCCTTGTCCATAAGCACCATGCTGTGAGGGCATGTGAAGGGCACAGTGGCAAATTTCCATGCATTCTAGAATTCTGTACTTCATGGATGTGGATGGCTAGCTTCATGCTGTGGCCATTTTGCTCCCCTGAAGAATGAGACACCAGTACCCACTCCTCCTCTTCATAGTGGCATGGAGATGGTGACATAGGAAAAGCCTTTCTCTCTGTAGTAGTCACTTTACTAATTGGACTATGCTAATTCA